AAAACAACAACGTTGTCCCTAGTCTACAGAAACAAAACAACAACGTTGTCCCTAGTCTACAGAAACAAAACAACAACGTTGTCCCTAGTCTACAGAAACAAAACAACAACGTTGTCCCGAGTCTACAGAAACAAAACAACAACGTTGTCCCGAGTCTATGGTAGCAATAAACAGTTAGGAAAAAATATTAAAATTTTCCCTCATTAATTTTACCATCCCCTTTTCATTGCCTTCTTGCAATATTAAGCTTACTGTTTGTGTCATATATGTGCATATGTATGTAATCAGAATCTTCCATAGATTTCATATCCAGTATATGAAATGGTAAAATATAATTTCTCCTTGGTGTATCCATGGCAACAATCTGTATTTTTTTGTTATAAAATATAGCAAAAAGGGGGGAAAAGATGTCACATATTTCCCCAAAATTTGACCAAAAGTAGAATTTCAATCACTTCAAGTAATACTTTTCTGAAACTGTTTACATATATCTTTCAATAAATCCAATGAAAATCATATGTCTTTCGTCTCATTTTTTTGTAAAATTGCGTCAAAAACTTCGTGTAGAAAAAAAGTGTTTGTAAACATTACATTAATTTCTGGACCGATGACCGGTCTAGCTATGAAAATACGGAGAGTCAAACAGAAAATAGCCCATAAAACATGTAAAAAATAATCTTGATGTTCTTATAAACCACCTTTGAAGGCTAAATTAGTACTCAGCTGTCTAAAAATGAATTTTATTACACAATAACTTTCATATCTGAAAAATCCACCGGGGCCAAAATGCAAAACCAAACTCCTAACTGTGTATTGCTACCTTAATAGTAAATATTTTTTTCAAATTCTCCCCTTTAACTAATTTTCTGTGTTCTGCTAGCTAAAACGAGTAAAATGGCCTTTTATTTTTGAAAATTGGTTGAGTAATGAATATTTTATGAAGGTTAGCAGTTGACACTGAAACGCGACAAAAACTGATTTAAAGAAAGGTGCCAAGTCAAAGTGTAAAATCTTGTTTCTACCTCAATTTTTGGCAAAATCTTAAAAACTATACCTCTTTTGTCAGTTTTTTAATGTTGAAAATCTTTATAAAACCTCTGATGATGCAAAATTGTACAAAATTTAACAATTTCAAGCATGAAAATGTTAATCTTTATGTTTAATGTATACCAAAGACTTGATTAAAACACTTGGTAATGGGGAATCAATTTCTTACAGCTGAATCAACTATACATTTAATATATGTCAAAATATAACATGAAATCTTGATAAAAATAATAATTTGATATATTCGCAAGAAAAAATACAAAACATTCAATACTTAGGCTACTACATACTGCGCAATCCTTCAGAAGCAAGGGTTAAGCAAATAGAGTACATTTATATGCTTTGTGTCAAAATGTCTAATTTTGGTTGCTAAGGACTGTAAACAATAAAATTGACATGTATTGTCATTCTTAAACACTTAATCCCATCAGAAGTTGATTTAGAATCTAAATATCAATAGATTTGTGGTATGAAAAGTCTTAAATTGTACAATTCTGAGCTTGGTAAGTATGCCATAAGGTAGCAATAAACAGTTAGGAAAAAATATTAAAATTTTCCCTCATTAATTTTACCATCCCCTTTTCATTGCCTTCTTGCAATATTAAGCTTACTGTTTGTGTCATATATGTGCATATGTATGTAATCAGAATCTTCCATAGATTTCATATCCAGTATATGAAATGGTAAAATATAATTTCTCCTTGGTGTATCCATGGCAACAATCTGTATTTTTTTGTTATAAAATATAGCAAAAAGGGGGGAAAAGATGTCACATATTTCCCCAAAATTTGACCAAAAGTAGAATTTCAATCACTTCAAGTAATACCTTTTCTGAAACTGTTTACATATATCTTTCAATAAATCCAATGAAAATCATATGTCTTTCGTCTCATTTTTTTGTAAAATTGCGTCAAAAACTTCGTGTAGAAAAAAAGTGTTTGTAAACATTACATTAATTTCTGGACCGATGACCGGTCTAGCTATGAAAATACGGAGAGTCAAACAGAAAATAGCCCATAAAACATGTAAAAAATAATCTTGATGTTCTTATAAACCACCTTTGAAGGCTAAATTAGTACTCAGCTGTCTAAAAATGAATTTTATTACACAATAACTTTCATATCTGAAAAATCCACCGGGGCCAAAATGCAAAACCAAACTCCTAACTGTGTATTGCTACCTATAGAAACAAAACAACAACGTTGTCCCGAGTCTATAGAAACAAAACAACAACACTGTCCCGAGTCTACAGAAACAAAACAACAACGTTGTCCCGAGTCTATAGAAACAAAACAACAACATTGTCCCGAGTCTACAGAAACAAAACAACAACGTTGTCCCGAGTCTATAGAAACAAAACAACAACACTGTCCCGAGTCTACAGAAACAAAACAACAACATTGTCCGGAGTCTATAGAAACAAAACAACAACATTGTCCAGAGTCTACAGAAACAAAACAACAACATTGTCCCGAGTCTACAGAAACAAAACAACAACATTGTCCCGAGTCTACAGAAACAAAACAACAACGTTGTCCCGAGTCTATAGAAACAAAACAACAACACTGTCCCGAGTCTACAGAAACAAAACAACAACATTGTCCGGAGTCTATAGAAACAAAACAACAACATTGTCCAGAGTCTACAGAAACAAAACAACAACATTGTCCCGAGTCTACAGAAACAAAACAACAACATTGCCCCGAGTCGACAGAAACAAAACAACAACATTGTCCCGAGTCTATAGAAACAAAACAACAACATTGTCCCGAGTCTATAGAAACAAAACAACAACATTGTCCCGAGTCTACAAAAAAGAAGTGAAAAACTTAACGGAGACTATTATAGATCTGTCTTCCAAATTCTTCAAAAAAAAAATAAAATAAAAAATATATAAAAAGACAACTACTAACGAGTTCATGACTTGGAATATAGATACATTTACATGCGGCGGAGTTAAGTTTTTTTTAAATCTCAACCCTCCCCCTTTTTAAACGAGAACTAACAAAAGGTTTATAAAAGAACGAATAATCAAAATCTGAACAGGAAATCACCTAACCAGACAATCAAATCAATGCCATACTGTATAAAGAAAGCTTACAGTCACTGAAAGCAAGCTCAACGTACTTTAAAAAATTGTACAGAGAGACAAGATCGTGTGAATGCCAAGAACAAACTGTACTGAAATTCAATGCAGAAAAACATTTTGTACAACCTTTGTCAATAAGTCTATTGAGCCAAAAAGAAAAAGTTAAAAAACTGTTCATAAACGTGTTCGCTTTATAAATGGTGTCGTTAAAAGCTGAGTGTGAAATTTCCTCAATAAATCTCTATATTTGTTGAAAAGATCAGTGAAAGTTTTGACCAATTTATGATACCTATATTCCTGCTATAAAAAAGATTTTATTAAAGAAAAAATGTTCACTTAAATATTTAAAGTAGTAAATCTGCAATAGAGGTAGTTTCCATCCTAATTCCAAACACTTCTCCAAAACAAACAAAAACATTATCAAGCAAAAACTTGTTGTACTAATAATTTCTTTGCAGTGAGTGCATTTTTGCAAATTTTATTACTATAAAGGAATTGTGACAACTGCACTAGATATTACTACAGATCCCTCCAGATTTTTCGAAAAAAAAACATTTTGTTAATTAGGAAAATTTCTTTTTGATAAGATTATGTGGAAATGTAGTATACTGTCCCAGGTCAGGAGTCTGCAAGTCAGTGGTTGTCGTTGGTTCATGTCTATCTGTCTTATTTGTTTTTCGTAAATGGTATTTTATAAATTAGGCCGTTAATTTCTCTTTTGATTTTTTCCCATTTCTCATACCGAGACCTTTAATACCTGATGCCAGTATACGGAATTGGTTTTTTCTCATCGTTGAAGGCCGTTCGGTGACCTATAATGGCTTTTTCGTCGTCATTTGAACTTTGGTGGACAGTTGTCTCATTGGCAATCATACCACATCACCTTATTTTTATATAGAGAAGAGAAATCTTAACTGTCAACGGAGACCAAAAGACTTATAAAAAGAGTTTCCTTATCCTAGACTTGCATTATGTTTTGACGCTACATAAATAGTTTATACCACTGTCAAATTAAGTTTTGCCACAAGATTTTATAACGAATTCCTTACTGGTTATAACAGGACAATTCAGAGGAACCGAAAACTGTGTAGTTGAACATCTACTTGATACAAGGTGTATTTATATTTCGGAAGCCAATACACGGTGGAAACCGTGTTGTCAACAGTAGCAGCTTATGGTGCATTCGTATTTGAGGCGTGTTTTTCTACGATCTTTTCTTTAAACGATGTAGGAATAAACGTTCTCAAATTTGAGATCTCAGACTTCGTTTTTGGTGTATGAACCAAGCTTGAACCTAGTTGGTAGTGAAACACGTCAAAAATCGGCGTTTTAAGGCTTACAACGCGATGACGTTACGATTATTTCTACGTTTTGTGGTATTTTTTCACATAGAACACCACTTTGAATGATGTAAATCGTAAACGAATTCGGTGACCCTATTATTATTTTACGAAAAATTAAAACCATTTTACCATTAAAACGGAAGTTAATGTATCAACAATATATAGATTTTTTAAGAAAAATTTATACATTGGAAATATGAAGACAGATTTAAGAACGATCTTCGCCGATTCTCTTTGCTTTCTATACAAATGTTCACCTATTTTGAAAGAATTCAATCAGTAGTATTTCAGAAAATAAAAGAGATAAATTTGTTTTTTTTTTCGATTTTCAGTTAAAGAACAACAAGCCAAAGTTGCATGCAAAATTTTACCAAAATCTGTGAAATAGCTCATTTACTGTTCCTTGACCTATGACCAATTTAAAGTCTTTGCCTTCTTACAGAAATTAAACAGCAAAAACGATCATTAATACAAGGTTATATTTTATCATGATTCTTATTTTGAATATCTCTATTTTCCAGACCGATTCTAACAGTAATGATACTAGCAAAGAGTACAAAAGAGTGGCCATAGTGGAAGATTTCTTTGACATCATATATGGAGTACACGTGGAGATGGATGGACGCGGCGGAAAGCACGCAGGACAAAAAAGAACATATCGAGCGGTAAGTCAAAAATATGTTTATGTTGTTATAAAACTACAGTAGGTATTAAGAAGGTTATAACAGAGCTTATGCTCAATTAAGCAATCAAACCTGTAGCCAGGCGGTTTGCCGAAACTCCGTCGAAAACATATGCATATGTTGGTGCAGTAAATGGTATTTTTGGTGATATTTTATCAAAACAATCTCATGCTTTTTTAATTAAAAAAATACACGTACATTGTCTTTACGAATCATAATTGGTCACGAATATAAGACCTACATATTTTTCTAGTTTTTAGAAGAAGAAAAAGCAGTAATTTGTTATTGTTTGCCTCTTACAGGTGTCTTGAAAAATTTTATTGAAAAAATCTGCTTTTTTTTTTATTTTGCTTAAAATATCTTTCACAATCGAAATGCATCTAGTATACCTATATCTAAAAGCAATATTTTACTCGAAGTTTCTTCAGCACAATTATTCTCAACGAACCTATCTATGTTACACACGGGTGCCACTTGTGGAGCATGATCAGCTCACTTTTCGGAGCACCTGAGATCACCCCCAGTTTTTGGTGGGGTTCGTGTTGCTCAGTCTTTAGTTTTCTAAGTTGTGTTTTGTATACTGTTGTTTGTCTTATGGACTTGTTCTTTTATTGCCAGTGCGTTGTCAGTTTATTTTCGACTTATGAGTTTGAATGTCCTTTTGGTATCATTCGCCTCTCTTTTATTGCAAGTATTTAAACGAATTCAACGGATTCAGTACTGAATAAAACGGCTGACGAGTGTTGATAACTCAAAAATTTTAAATTTGATATTCATATTTGTTATTTATTAATATTTGTCAGTAGGACGTATACACCATTGTAAATAAATTGTTTTAATTGATTACCAATCGCTGATCATAGTTCTATTATTTTCACCTTAAATGTCTTTTACATTCTATGGAGAAAGATATATTACTGTTAATAACTTACCATTTCTAATGAGTTCTTTGAGATTATTTGCTTTGATTATTCTTGTGAACAAATAAAATTGATATTTCATAAAAGAAGAAGAGATTTTTTTTCAAGAATATCATAGATTTTAACATGAATATTGATCGATAGAGGTCAACACACATGGGTTATATTGCGGCGGAAAATACTTTCATTAAAACAAATTTTTTTCACATGATTTCCGACTACTTAGACCTTTATACTACGAGGAGCTGTTTTCCGAATAATCCAGTCGTTATGGTGAATAGACAAGTTTTGCATTTGACAAAGTCTGTCATAAAAACAAAACGGGGTTCATAAGGCAAAAGTAACAAAAGAAGAATGTCCGAGAGCAGTTATTTGAAAATTCATCGAATTAAAATGACTAAAAAGAAAATTTCTTGGTTCACGTACACATTTTATAAATATAAATGAATGTTTTGACAATTCAAAGAAAACAAAACAATTTCAAGGTCGAAAAGCCGTTCTATGTAAAAAGCAATTAATGTTTCTATGTCAACAATTTTTTAAACATCCATGAGAAAAAAATGTCCATGTAATTTGACTGGTGGTATAATTTCACAAAATATAACTATTCTGTATCAGCGATTTTAAATCCGAATGACAGATATTAAATTTGATTCCAGCTTAGGATCTATGAGTTTATAGAATATGAACTACAATTACACAAAGAATATTTGAACGGCTTCTGTCGACCCGCTAATTAACTTTCCGGCTTTGGGCACCTGCATATATGTCACTACCATTAGCAGAAAGTGTTACGAAATTTACAATATACCATAGGTGGTAATTTCATTGCTAATCACCAACAGACATGTTCAAATTTGGTCAAATTAAACCCTCAGTATCGAACGACATGCCGCTGTCAACGAATTATTAAACTTTTTCGTTTAATATATCTCATATCAGACAGTCGCAGCTTTTATTGTAAAGTCATTCACACTTACATTAATAGGTGTACATAAATATTCTGTTTGAGGAAAGACATTATAGACACGGGCTATCTGCAAGAGAAACATAAACGTTTTACTCGCAGACGTGAACAGCTGTGAAAGGAATCTGAAAAAAATATTAACAATTCCAGTGTACGTTCTAAGTATAAACCCTTTTCCTTGATTTTTGAAAACCGAAGACTCATTAAAGTAATGTTTTGACATAAAGTAAATTACCATATTGACAACTAGTAAAGTACTATATTGACAACAAGTAAAGTACCATATTGACAACAAGTAAAGTACTATAGTGACCACAAGTAAAGTACTATATTGACAACCAGTAAAGTACCATATTGACAACAAGTAAATTACTTTGTTGACAACTAGTAAAGTACTATATTGACAACTAATAAAGTACTATATTGACAACTAGTAAAGTACTATATTGACAACTAGTAAAGTACTATATTGAAAACTAGTAAAGTACTATATTGACAACAAATAAAGGACTATAGTACTTCCTTGGTCTGATAGAAGGAGCAAGTTTTTGAGAGGGAAATTGCGACCACTTCCCTCATATGTTTGAATCCCCTATCAATATCAGAGTTGTTTTGTTAACTTCCACATTAAACTTTAATCAGGGTAATATTCCAAAAATGATTTCATTTTACTCTACTAAGACGACTTTCATGGCTTTGCACTTGTTCTGATTAAGTAACAGTACAATCGGTAACTAGTATCTCGTTGCAGTTTATATGGATAGTTCTCAATAAAAATCGGATTATCTATAAATCCGACAAATATAGCCATGATATTTTGACACGATTTTCCTTATTTAGCTAGATAAGTTTATCATAAACACTTGAGTTCAACCAATTTTTATCTTCTGGTAATACGTCAGGCTGGTGAATGTTCAACTGAGTTCAACAAATTATATCTTCTGGTAATACACCAGGCTGGTGAATATTCAACTGTTTAGGATAAAACCACTGAAAAAGATGACAGAACAATTCAACTGGCTTCCTGTTATGACACCACATAACACATTTCTCTTAATATGACTTTTCAGCCAAAGAGCCGAAACAAGAAAATTGAAGGAAACGAATGATACGGGATTTCTTTAAATGCTCTTTATTAAATCTCAAAATCAAAAAATTATTATAATTGAGATATCATTTATAACTGATTACAATTGATTTCCTTATTCTTGAAATCAAGATTCTAGAAAACATTTCAAAATGGAATGGTCCTTTTGGTGACGACTTACAGTGATAATTAACACATACAAGGGGTGACACTACTGACAGGTGACGACTTACAGTGATAGTTAACACATATAAGGGGTGACACTACTGACAGGTGACGACTTACAGTGACAGTTAACACATATAAGGGGTGACACTACTGACAGGTGACGACTTACAGTGATAGTTAACACATATAAGGGGTGACACTACTGACAGGTGACGACTTACAGTGATAGTTTACACATATAAGGGGTGACACTACTGACAGATGACGACTTACAGTGACAGTTAACACATATAAGGGGTGACACTACTGACAGGTGACGACTTACAGTGATAGTTAACACATATAAGGGGTGACACTACTGACAGGTGACGACTTACAGTGATAGTTAACACATATAAGGGGTGACACTACTGACTGTTAAACAACTATGGCAGGTGACGGCTTACTTTGAGAGTTAACGCAAATTACAGATGTCGGCTGACTGTGACAGTTAAGAGGGGCCTGATGGGGGGGAGGGGGTCTCATCACGATTCACGAGTTGATTTTTTTGTCAATCACGATTCACAGAAAATAAATTTCCATGATCACGGATCACGAAAATATAAAAAAAAATAAATCCGTAGAAAAACGGATCACGATAGCGAAAATGCGCCGATCACGAAGAACCAAAATAACCCATCAGGCCCCTCAGTTAACATATATGGCAGGTGAAAACCGACTGTGACAATTAACATATTTGACAGGTGACGACTGGCTGTGACGTTAACACTTATGACAGTGGGTGGCGACTGACTGTGACAGTTAACATTTATTACAGGTGACGACTAACAGTGACATTTAACACATTTTACATGTGACGAATGACTGTAAGAGTTAACACTTGTGACAGTGGAGACAGACCGTGACAATGAACAAATTAACAAACAAGCAGGATACCAGACTTTGACAGTTAACACATATGAAAGGAGATCACAGACTGGCAATTAACAAATATGCCAGGTGACGAGCGCCTGTGACAGCTAACACATATGACAGTGGCGACTGTATATGACAGTGGCGACTGTATATGACAGTGGCGACGGTCTATGAAAGTTAACACATATATCTAAGGTGACGACTGACTATGACAGTTAATTTGAGGTTAACCTTTTTTAAACTTTTTTTACATAGTGTGAGTTTACTATCAAAGAATTATCAAAGTAATAAAGTTGGTATATAAATTATATGCGCATATACGTATACACAATGAGAACTATTCTGAAAACCGAAGTTACAACAGTTGCTCTAAAATGATAAACATATTCTTCTTTTTCGCATGCAAGGCCCGTCATACTTCTTACCATTTATAAGTTCTAGTAGTCATTTTGGAAAAGAGTCCTTGTTTTTTGCATGCAGCATGGATTTAATTCATGCTGCATTCACCTAACTATTGTACAAATAACAGGTACACAAATACATTTTGCTTTATTTGTACTTGTACATTTAAAACCTACTGTTACTCCGCTTCCATAATATTGAGCAGACGGTAATGTGAATATTTTCTTTAGTGTGTCAGTTCATTTTTGGGATCCTCTTCGCGGTCCGCGCTTAAACTATGTGTCGATTTCTTTGAAAAACCAGAGACAGCTATATGGATTTAAACAACTAAACCTTAAATTACCGGGTGTAAGCTACAGGATAAAAACAATATATGTACATTGTCAAAACTATAAAATTTATTTGTACTCGCTACGAAACAGGATTTAAAGCTCGTATATAAATTCATTTCAGTCGAAGAACCCAGTCTCTTTCTTTTTTTACATTTACGACTTACCAGAAGGCCTACACTCAACAGTGAGAC